GCAAATAACAACAACAACAACAGCATAGTGCCTAAAGCACTTGACTGCTGACCAGAAGGCTGGCGGTTCCAACCCACCAGCCACTCCTCGGAAGGAAGATGGGGCAATCTACTTCTGTAGTGATACTGCCTCGGAAGCCCAAAGAGGGGTCACTATGAGTCGTGTCCAACTCCATGGCACATAACAACAACAACAACAATTAATTATAAAATGAAAGATCAAGAAATCAGCAACACTAAGGCCTGAGGTTTACTGTTTAGACATGGGCAACTATTTGTTTTATGATTATTTTAAATTTACCGAATTGAAGTTCTGGATAGGGAATGAGAAAGAAAAAAGAATAATCAGTGAGCCTCTAGGATTTACCAGGCTTGTACCATTTCATCCCATGAACTCGATTACAATAATAGCTATCATTTGTCAGTATATTATAGCAGGCACTGTGTTAAGGGATTTACATCTCTCATTTAATCTTCACAGTAATTCTGTAAGGTAAATATTACTCCCATATTAAAAAAGCAGAAGACTAAGGTTGAAAAAAAGTTAAATCATTTGCCCATGTTTCCAGCTTTCGAAAATCATAGTACTGGGAATAAAAATTGTGCCTGACTTACTACAAATGCCATGTCCTTCCAGTCATTAATTTTTTTTTTTTTTTAGAATTTTTCTTTGTTTCAGATTAGAAAATCATTCCTGCTGTTGTGAGAGGGCACACAAAGGGGGCTCCTGGGTGCTTGCAATGCTCTAGTTTGTGATCTGGGTGGTGGTTACAGTTTGTGACAGTTCATTGGAGTGTTCACTTAACATTTGTGAAGCTTTTTGCCATACCTCCTGCCTTTGTTATCTAGTGTTGCTATAACAAAAATATCATAAATAGGTGGCTTTAACAAGCAGAAATTTATTTTCTCACAGTTTAGGAATTGTCAGAAAAAAAATAATTTTTAACCTACAAAATTCGTAAGATCACTTAAATCACCCATATGACAAAACATGCCATTATTGCATAATTGCCCCCTTTGTACTCTGATAAGTCTCAGTAATACAAGAGGAAGCAATGAGTTAATGAAAAGATCACTAGAACAGCAGTCAGGAAATCTGGGTTCTACTTTTGCCTGTGCCACTTACCAAAGGCCTCATTGTGGGCAAGTCTCTTAACTTTCTGGGCTTCAGTTTCTGGAGTTGTAAAATGAGAGGATTGGCCTCTATCTCAAAGAACACTAAAAGTCAAAATAATTTATGACACAGGGATTTTGGCCAGGCTTGGATACATCTTTTATTTTTTTTTTTCATAATAAAGACTGACTTCATAAAGCAGAAACATGTAATAACTGTGACAAGAGAGCTTGCCATCTTTATTTGCAACCAGAATAAATACAATGTGTTTCCTGTCCTTCCCTCAAGTATTCATGGGAAGGGGCGGAGGAAAGGACAGGGACAGGATGCCCTTCCCTTACATGTCACTCACCAGTCTATACATTTTTTTATAGTCATAAGATCTCTTATCCCAGCCTTTCATCCCACCAAACAAAAAAGTACAAGTAACTTGTTAGGGTGACAAAATTGGGCTTAGTTTCATTTTCATTTAACTTTTTTTTCAGGTGTCTTCCTTTCCCTTATCATTGTAGTATTACATTTGTAGTTACATAATATCAGAGACATCGGAGAAAAAAAAATTAAGGAGAAACTTTTAAAATGAAGAGGGTTAAGTGTGACTTTGGTAGGCTCATACTGTTGCCAGTTTGCAGGTGAACGTGCAAGAAACTGGGAACCGGACAAGTGAAAAAGGAGAGGTGCCTTAGATACCTAAGACAGTTCTAGGGAGCAGAAAAGGACTTTTGTTCTTTTAGGTAATGCAGCTTTGATGTACTGTGACAGTTATAAGTATGCCAATCTTCCTTTGAGGACAGGAACTGTCTTATTTATATCCCTAGCGTGGGATATAACCAGTAATCCAGTATTAAAGAAATTGAGTGAAAAGAGTGTGCGGAAATAAGAAAAGGAGAAAATAACAGAGAGCCTCGGATATCTGAAACTTTTACAGGACTTCAGCGAAGTAGTTTTTTTAGATGAGGTGTCAATAAACCAGGATTTGGCAGCAGAAAGCTGCTGCATTGAGTGTAGGAAAGAGGTGGCTAGAATTCCTTATAATAAAAAAAAAGATCAGGAAACAGGCTTTAAAAAAGTGAAAAAGAAAGGCAAAAGCAACAGCGATTTGCAGACTGGAGGAGATTCTAGGTCAGAGAACCATCTAAGTCAGAGACGAAGAGAGAGAACTGGTTAACTGGGTGGAGAACACCAGTCCAGGTGCCTGACGGCGTAGCTCGCTTTGAGTGTTTCTTAACAAAACTACCAGGAAGCCCCGAAAGATGTGCAACTCAAGCTAGTATTTTTGGCGTGATAACTTCCGTGTGTGTATGTATGTGTGAAACAGGGAGGCCGCCCTAGAACTTCCGCATGCGAATGAGACTGGAGCGCTGCCCGCCAGTGCCCGGCCCCAACCCTAGAGGAAACCCGCGCTTCTTGCACAGCTCGCCCCTCCACACCCCCAGCTCCGTTAGCGGGCGGGCCGGGGGCGGGGTCGCGGCCACGCCCCGGACGAACAGCAGTGCGACAGGCCACCTCGGCCGTGCTCACCCAGCGCTCCGCCCCGCGACTACATTTCCCAGCAAGCCCCACGCCGCCTGCGCGCCGTAGTTGACCCATTTCCCGGCCCGTCACAGGCTCGGCCGGCCCCCGCGCCCAGGCTGCTGCTCCCTGCTGCTCCCTGCTGACTGGGGTGTGGGCGGGGAGCGGCGGAGGGAGGAGGAGGCGCTGCTGGCCGCCGTCTTTGCCTCCGCTGCTGGGCGCCTGGGCAGCTACCCGGGCTTCTGCGGCCGCCATGGACGAGCAGGCGGGTCCCGGCGTCTTCTTCAGCAACAGCCACCCGGCCGCCGGCGGTGCCAAGGGACTCGGGCCTCTGGCGGAGGCTGCCGCGGCCGGCGACGGGGCGGCTGCGGCGGGGGCGGCCCGAGCCCAGTACAGCCTCCCGGGGATCCTGCACTTCCTTCAGCACGAGTGGGCCCGCTTCGAGGTGGAGAGAGCCCAGTGGGAGGTGGAGCGGGCGGAGCTGCAGGTAAAGACCCTCCCGGCCTGTCCCCCTTCATCCCGCCTCTTTGCTCCCTCTAGCCCCGGCTTCATTCTGCCCCCAGCCCTCACTGGCCCCTTTTCCTTTCGCTCCCGCCCATCCCACGGAGAATCTCGTCTCTTTCCTCTCCTTACCTTTGCTTTTCGCTGACCCCCACTCCTTGACCCCCGTTCCCACGCCCTCCCCTGATGAGTTGTTTACCCTCCCTGCTCCTTTTCGCCAGCTCCTTCCCACTCAACTCCCAGTCTCATTTAAACTCTTACCATCTTACATATTAGGTCATTCCTTTGAGTTTATTAATTGAGCTGGCAGTAGTTTTGGGAGACGTCGAGCAAATTATCTGTTCTAGGGTGTCTTGTCCTAGGTTTAGGGACACTGCCAGCAAAAGGTATTTGCAGTTGGCTCCTCTCTCTGAAAGGAAGGTAATTAAAAAACACAGCAGAAGTTGTGTTGGTGAGGCCTTGACTTTAGGCGAGAACTGATGTTAGGCAAAAGGGTTATTAGAAATATCAACTCTTTTTTATATATGTAAATGTTTCTGCTCCACCCCCTCCTACCTCCCCCGGATTTCTTTTAGCTACTTCAGATTCATGGATTTTGAAGGAAAGAGTTAGATGATCACAGTCAGATAGATAATGGCTCAGAGATGGTTCCTGTTCTCAGAATCTAAAACTTTCTAGTTTTATGTTCAGTATTTTGTGAAATTGGCCTGTACTTTTAAAAGGAACTAAAGTGGCTTTAAAGTTAGTTACATTGCTTTTCAGTGCATTGTTGTTAGGTACTGTCAAGTGCACTGTCTGCAAGATGAAGTATATCCAGGGAGGAGCTATCCTGGTTTTTAGAAGAATGAAAGTGTGGCTGATACTTTACAGGCCATTCTGAATTGGTAAGTAGGATTTCAGTCGCTGATCTTGAAACTTCCAAGACATAGACACATTTCACAGGGAGCTTTAAAGAACTATGAATGGCTGTACCTTTCTATTTTACGGGCTAATTCTGTATGTTTATGAAATACGAATCTAGTTTTGGTTGGGGAAACACTTGAAGTTAAAATGCCATCCAGTATGTCACTCCATTTATTTATTTATTTATTTATTTATTTTTTTGGGTAACATGCATTTTCTTTGGCTCTTAAAAAAAAAAAAGAAAAGCAGAAATCTGTTCCATAGAATCATGTGCTGGAGTGGGCCCCTTTGGTGTAGTGGAAGTGGCTCTAGAAAGAGGAGATGGGCTAATATAGTTACAGGATGTGCTTGCTACTGTGACCTTGAGGGAATCCTTTACTCTGTGGGCATCCTTTTCACAATTTATTTATTCAGCATATGTTTATTGTGCACCAGCTATGTGCCTCTATGCCCTGAGATTAACAAGACCTCTAAAACCTCAGCCTTCATGGAGGTTGCCTTTCAATCAGGAGGCAAACAATCATTCGGAAAAAGTGGCCTATGGAGCCAACTGCTATGAGGAAAAATAATCAGGGTACAGAAATAGAGTGTGAATGGAGTAGTCGGGGAAGGCTTCTTGGAGGAGATGACGTATGAGCAGTTAAATGAAGTGAGAGAGTGACTCCGTTTCTATAGTTGTTCCTGATTTTATAGTGTCTACCTGCTCAGTAGCTCTGTGGGAAAAAGACCTGGCAATCTGCTTACATAAAGATAACAGCCGACTGTAGGGCAGTTCTGTGTCACACAGGGTTCCTATGAGCTGAAAACTGACTTGACAACATACAATAGTAACAACTGAATTATATGTTATATATTTATATTCTTTGGCAACTTTTTTATCAATCAGTACTTGTCATATTTCTTAATAACAAATCTGATGGTCTAAGTAATTTGCAGATTTGAATGCTTATACCCTCGCTCTATTAACAATATCATCTATAAATGAACTTGTATATTTCTGACTTCAAGGAAGCGTTAAATGTGAGATTTAACTTTGATGTATAGGAAAATAATTGGTGTATGTAGTGGCTTAAATTTTATTTTCTAGTTTAGGGAACATAAGATAAGGTAGACTAATTTGGTCAAGAACAAACAAGAAAAGTGTACTTACTTCCCTACGTACAAGTCAGGAAACCTCCAATTCTCCTTACCCTATCTCCTTCTCTCCTCCCCATTTTTCATGTTTAAATTTTCAATTTACCAGTATTGTAGTCAATATTAAAATTTTGTGTATGTAATATATATGCACACGTACACACACATTACACATATATACCTATCTTTCTGGGGTATTTATGTCAAATGTTAAACTTCAGGTAAGTTTCCCCATGATGCCTATCACATATTAAAGGTACAGCTTTTAAAGTATCTTTTGCTTTGTACTGAGAGAACAGAGGTCTAGTTAAAATAATCAAATTAAGCTGTTACAGAGAAAAGTTTAATAGTGTCATATTTTTCAAACAGAATAAATAAATTTTATGTATTTTTGGGGGGAGCAAGTTGGCAGGAATCTATGGTCTGAGTCCCCCCTCAATAGTGTAATTGAAAATTTCTTTTCTGAATTACCAATATCACTAAATTTGAACATTTCCCTCCATTTTTCTTTTGCCATTGGAATTTTTCTAGAAAAACAGTAAGATATAAAAGCATTGAATGAATTAGGATGACATATGGATCAGTTTGTGTCTTCCTTTTAATTTTTAAATTTCAAGTCATTAATATCAAAGTCAACAAAAATAACTTTAAGTTTAATTTGTCCCTTCGGGAACCTGTCAGTCCTGCTCTTTGAATTTGCCAGGGCAGCATTGTGAAAGGCAGTTCAAGCTCTCATCTACCTGGTCCAGCCTGCCATCACCACTTCCTGCTGCCTTCAGATCTTGGGAGTAAGAAATCCGTGATACTTTGCCAGAAGCTTCTTTGTTATTTCTTTCTGCCTTGCCAGTCTTATTAGTATACTCTCCTTTTACTTGTGATTATTATCCCCTACTCTCACACAAACAGATGAGAGTAGGTAATTCATGAAAAAAAAAAAGATAATGATCAAGAGTATTACTGAGCTTTAGGTTTGGGAAATAAATCAAAGAGGGAGTACTGACCATAGCATTTGAGAACATTTTCTGTATGTAGGACATTGTGCTTTGTGACCTCACAAAGAAGCAGCCTAGTTGAAGTGATAGAACATAAGTGAAACATAGAAGAATCAAAGTGTTGATTATTTTGGGGCTTTAATTTACTTAGAATAGCATAAGAGAGAAGAGCATTGAATAACAGTGAATGGAGAGAATATAGCAGAAGAAGTGAACTTTACAAAGACATGAGAGGCTAAGGCTTAATATTTGAAGATTACTGACCAATGTGAAAGTGAGTGTTTACATAAATTATTGGCTCTAGATATTGGGGTGGGGTGTATATATTGGAGAGATACTTATCTGGAAATGCTAGAGTTGTGTGAAAAAAGTGATATGACTGAGTAGCATAGGTATGTAGTGTGGAGTTATATATTGGAGAGCACTTGGGTTTTGACATTACTGATTCATATTTTTATTCAACAAATATTTTTTGATCACTTTTCTTGTACCAGGGCCTGATCTAGGCACTGGAGATTGAACAAGGAATAAAATAGACCCTACCTTCATGAAGCTTAAATCGTGGGTGAAGACAGACAGTAATAAATTAACAAATACATCAGATGTTAGGTGGTAATAAATGCCATGGTAAAGTAGGGTAAGGGAGATAGGGAGTGCTTAAGATAGTGGGGAAGAAAGATAAGGTGACATTTGATCAAAGACTTGAAAAGGTGATACCTAAGGAAAGAGCATTCAGGGGCAGGTGCTTGGAATGTGTGAGGAATAACAATGAGGCAAGTGTGGCTAGAGGAGAGTAGACAAAAGGATGTCAGAAATACTGAGTCTTGGACACTGTAAGGACTTTGGATTTTACCTTAGCAAGGTGGGCATCCATGCATGTTTTGAGCAAAAGAGTAACACCATCTTTAAAAGGAACCTGTTGAAAGGCTTCAGAACAGACTTGAAGGAGAGACAAGGATAGAAGGAGCAGAGAGACCAATTAGGAGGCTGTTTTAGTAATTCAGGCCTGAGATGATGGTGACTTGGACTAGAAGGTAGAACAAGCAAGATGTGCTGAAGGGTGGGATGTGAGGTTTGAGGAAAGAGTAAAAAGATGACTCAAAAGTATTTTGGCCATGGCCAACAAACACATGAGGAAATGCTTATGATCATTGACCATTAGAGAGATGCAAGTCAAAACAACAATGAGACACCATCTCACCCTAGCAATAATGGCAAAGTTCAACAAGACAGAAAATAACAAATGCTGTGGGTTTGCAGAGAGACTGGAATTCTCATACGCTGCTAGTGGGACTATAAAATGGTACAACCATTGTGGAAAATGGTATGGTGTTTCCTTAAAAAACTGAAAATAGACATACCATTTGAACCAGCAATTCCATTACTAGGATTATATTCTAAAGAGGAGAGAGACAGGAAATGAACAGACGTATACATGTATACCCATGTTTATTGTAGCATAATTGACTATAGCAAAGAGATGGAAACAATCTAAATGCCCATCAGCAGATGAATGGATAACCAAACTATGGTACATTCACACAAGGGAATACTATGGAACATTAAGGAATAATGAAGAATACCCCAGTTATCTTACAGTGTTTATGAATTTGGAGGACATAATGCTAAGTCAGTCACAGAAGGGCAAATATTTTATGAGTCAATTATTGTAAAAAGTCAAGGAAAGTTTTACTCAGGGAAGGAAATTCATTTTGTTGGTTACTGGGGAAGGGAGGGAAAATTTTAAACTAGTTGGGGGTCACATGTTGATTTGGGTGAGGGGAGGGGTGATATGGAAAGAGTCTGTGACAGCATGGTGACATTGGGGAAAGGAAAGACAGAGAAATATGCACAAAAGATACAGACAACAGAGGTAAATACTATTATATGCACAATACTGCACCAAACAAAAGGCTGTAGGTAAATGCATAGACAGATGAGAAGATCAGATGGGGTA